TTAAGGTTTTTAAGTTCCTGAGCTGGGACTCACTTGCAATAAAGAGTGTAAAATATTTTTTCTTGCTTAAAATTACCATAAAAGAAAAATTTTTAACAAAACGGACATAGTCAGGAGAGAGTTTTTTTAAATTAAATAATTATCTTATAAACAATTTAATATTAAACATAATAATAATATTTTTTATAAATCTGTAAATTAATAGTACAATAGATAATACTTTTAAATTTTTAAATATATATTCTTAGTTCAATTTTTATAGGAAACAAAAAATATATTTATCTTTATATATAGGTTTATTGAATATTTTGCATATATTGTATTCAATAAATTTTAACTATATTCAAATTAATTAGGTTATATAAAAATGGAATCTTTAATCTTTTTAATAATTATAAATTGAAAACAGATCAAAGAATAAGAAAAAACTTTTGATTTAATTTCAATAAAAAGTTTATAAAACTTTAATTCAAACCGACAATAGTAAACTTTGTTATATAACCTAAAGAAATTAATTTTAAGCTGATTTATTTCAATATAAAGCTTGAAAATTTATTTCAAAAGTAATGTTTTTTTAAATTTAAATAGATTGAAAAAGCAAAGGATATTTATTACAAATGGTAACAGTTTAGGCAAAAATCATTAAAATCAAGTAAGTTTAGTAAGGAATTTTAAGATTAAATTAGAATCCAAGCAAGAATACCAGTTTTACAAGTAATAAAAATGATAGTACAATATTATATTAGTGATATACCCTAAGAATTAATAATAATAAATAATTAAAATAATTAGAATTAATTTTTATAATAATATTTCATATGACTTTTCTTAAAAAAATAGTCAAAAAATATGATTGAACCTATAAAAAGGATAGGTTTAAACTAGTAATAAGACTTTCTTCTCTCTTTTATAAGTTTTATTTAAATGTAATATAAAATGGATTCATTAAAGTAGTCAAATTAATTTAAGAAAAATCAGTAATATTGAAAACAATATTAATTAGATAATATTAATTTACATCTAAAATAGCAATAATCTAACTTGTAAAAATGTTTAATATATAAAGTTCGCATGTAATGCACTTTGCTTCTTAAAAAAAAAAAAAAAAAAAAAAAAAAAATGTTTAATATAATAGTAAAATATTAATTATTAATAAAACCTCATATATAATGCTCTTAATCAATAAAATAATAATAATAATAAACTGTAAGCAATGAATTCAAATTCTTCAAGAAACAAAGAAAATAAGAAAGTAACTATTTATTTTTAAGATTATATTTAGAAATTGTAAATCAATAATAAATATTCAAGTATTAGTTTAATTCAATTTCAATAATTAAATAAACAATAATAATAATAATAATAATTCTTTTATAATGTATATTTTATATATACAAATTAAGTAAAAAATTATAAGCTTTCTTATTTAGAAACAAAAAGGTTTTTTTGTTTCATTAATAAGAGATATTTTTTAAAAAAATATTGATTTTATTAAATAGAATCAAAAAGCAATTATTTTATTATAGGAAATAGTGATTAAACGAATTAAAAGAAAACAATAAAATACGCAATATATATGTTTAAATATTGAAAATATAATTTCCCTTATTGAATATTTTAGAATATCTCACTTAACAAAAACATAATAACTTGGGTCTATAATAAAATTATATCTTGATATTTCCAATAAGAAATTGTTATAAAGTATATAAGTATAGTTTAATTTCTATATTAGAATTAAAAAATTGTAAAAAAATTTCGAATATTGAAAGTATCTAAATTATAATAATTAAAAAAAAGTAAAACACATTTATTGTTTTAATCGATTATATATATAACATTTTATATTATTAGTCTAAATTTTTAAATGGTGATAAATGGTTGAAAATCTATCAAGAAAATCAAACACGCTAGCTAACTTAATGTAATATATAACTTTGTTCATCAGGACAAGAAAAATCTTCATGTCGCTAACTGTTTTTTAACAAAACCTTTTGTACGCTGAAAATCTGTTCGTACTGAAAATCAATGAAACCCATGTTTATGAAATGTATGAACAGGCAAAACAATTTAATACAAAATATTTATAAGGGAACTTAATAAATAAAGGTCAAAATTAATATTAAAAGACACTGAATGTTAACTTTATCAATCACCTAATTTTTCGGTTCTAATATTACAAAGTCTACATATCAGTGACCATCATTTGACCCACCCAATTGATGTTCAAAACCAGGTTCATTGTTATAGCCAAAGACATGTTGTAATCTTAGTAATTTTTGCTTGTAAGGGTCGCCTAGATGTCAAGATTAAACATTATTAATAATAAATTAATTCCGAAAAAAAAACAGGGATTTTATAATTTACCTTCATCCTGTTCACTTTCGGATGGAACTAAAAAAAAACAAGAATATTAAAAATTAAAAAATGATACACGCAAAAAAATTTACTTGGTAAATCTAAATCCAAATTACTTAGGGATTTAATTCCTGCAATAGCATTGGCTCTCTCTTTTTCTTCTTCTTCTGAAGCGATATTCGCCAATCCACGACGAATATAACTCTGAAAGTAAGGACCTGTCTTTGACAATTGCGATGTCACTTTGCTTTCCATTTCGGGATGTTGTTTTTGAAATTCATATAATTCGTAAATGCCCTACATAGGATACAAGAAATATTAGGATTTTTGTAATTTTTTGTTTTTGAAATTATTTAAGATGCCTACCTGTTTAGTTTCTTCTCGCGTACCAATCTTAAGAAATATTTGGGTTAAACGTGCATTCATCTCTACTTCATGTGATCCTGATGAACGGCTACTGCCAGTCGGTGTAGGGAATCTCGGTGTCATGGGTGTATGAGGTGAAGCTGGACTGACTGGTTCTGAACTATTAGACTGCGTTTCATTAAACTGCCCCGGCGCTTCGGATGCAACAGAATTTCGAGCCAGTTGTTCGTTGGTTTGCGTGGGAGTGGGCGTAAATGAATGTCGAGGTGAGGAATTTTGTACCGGCGACGCTCGCGAAGAATCTAATGACGAATATGCCGATTCCATTCCTATTGACTTTATGGAACTAACAGATGAAGGCCGACTTTGCAAATTAGAAACCTAGCGTGAAGAAAGATCAGGTCGAGAGTTTAATAAAATGGATTAAACGAGGCAATTCCAAGAAGAGTGGAACTTACATTTGACGACGTATTATTTTGTTTTTCCTTTTTACGACATGCTTCGAGCATATGGTGTAAGTAAGGGTATACAAAACTATGTTGAGGATCGTCAATAAGGTCCAAATGATCATATACACTTTCGCCAAGTCCGGTCACGAGCTCGAGCAGCAGCGTTTTTACTGTGCGAAGAGGCATTTCGCCAAGCGGGACCTTATCGGCTGCGCGTCTCTTCCATTCTGCGGGTGGCGTTGAATACAGGAAATTATTGAGATCCCTTAATAGTCTGTTAGGTTGGAGGATGCTATTCTTTAAGTTTTCTTGAACTGTCTTCGCTAATTTCCATAGACACTTCATTATCAGTTCTGTAAACTTTGTATGAGAGGAAGCGGTAGATGGATCGACTTCTCGTAATTTTGCCGCCGATCTCTCAAGTATAGATATTAGGGCACTAAATATCAAAACTTTTTGTAATTAAAAACCACGTGTGAAACAATTAATAACCTTTTCCTCCCAAAACTTGCCTATATGTTGCATTACGATTACTGTTGTCGAGAACCTTAACCATCGATACGTTTAGTGCTTTTGACAATTGTTGACCAGACGACTCTAATATTTGGAGGTTGGGATCAAGTAGACGATGTGCTAATTCCGTTAACAAGCTATCAAGCGATTCTTGAGATACGGCCAATGCTAAATCCTTGTTTGAAAACAATAAAACTAATGCATTAACCAGATGCTTGCACAGTCGAACCAGTATTTGTGACTGCGGATCAAGCTTCGTATATGAAATTCGCACTTGTACTGTCAAAGCATTAACAATGTCATTAACAGATGGAATAAGTGATTCAGGGGAATTGTTCAAATGTTTATCTAGTTCTTTTAGTGCTTCAATGCTTTGTGGATAGTCGGGACTCTGGATCTTGGATATGACAACTTCCACCAAGAATACCGAACCGCGTTCGGATGTTCGTTGTTTAGATGCTGCCATTCCGGGAGAATTTGACACCGCAAAATTATCATTTGCCAAGTTATTGTGCTCCGGCTTATCAATTTCCATGTGTACAGGGTCCTTATGATCAGAATCGTCCAAGGCCTCGGATGGGTGACCATTCGCTCCATTCACACCCTGACGAAGTCTAGAAAATTGAAGACGAGGCGCTGGCAAGCCTCTACCAATCCCACTTTGTGGAATTCCACCTCTTTGTGCGGGTGGTTGAAGTCTGTTGGGTGCCACAATGGAAGATTGTGGTCCGTTATTAGCGCCTAAGGAGGGAATACCATTGGGAGGGACTAGACCTGATGTGTTATTAGTAGGCGCCGCGAGTGGTTGTGCAAGGGTGCGTTGAGGAATACCTTGACCTATGTTGGTTGGTGGTTTGAGCACCAACCCAGGAGGTAATTTCGGTGTTGGTTCCTCGTCGTCTATGTCGTCAGAAGCGTCATCATTTTTGTTATCCTTTGCTGTTGGCAAAGCAAGACGGGATTTGGGGCCAAGTTTTTTGGCGTCCTTTCCTCTAGGAAGAGGACCATTGCCGTGGGCTGGACGAACAGCTTCAATCATCGGCATAATTGTTTGTTTTACTGCACCCTTGAGATCTCCACATCGTGTTACCACGTAGTCGAAACCAGCACTCTTTACTATAGGCCCTAAACAACTTTGTGCCGCTTTTCTCACTTCACCATTACGATCCTGTAAGCATGATAGTATAACTACTACGAATGGTTGCAAATCGGGTAAAATGTTTTTCTCGTCAACTTCTTTAAGGCGATCGGATAGCCAACTTAGTAAATCTTTACGTAATAGCGGATTTTCAGTAGCGAGGCTAGTTGCCAACGGTTGGACTAAAGGATCCAAGTTGGTAGCATTTGCAAGACAATCCAATGCACCGATAGCACTCCCGCGAACCGTAGCTTTCTGATCAGTCAGCACTGCGGTCACTGGTGGGACTAATATTTTTATGTGCTTTTCAAATGGTTTTCCCATTGCTGTTGCGAGCTTTCCGCAAATATCCAAAGCCATCATTTGCAGGTTTTTATTGCTATCCGCCAACCGTGCCTTCAGAATCGGAACGAACTCGCCTATTAAACATCAAGGTTTTAATTAGAGAATATTATGCGTACTTTGTGTGTTTCGTTAGAATCAACTACATACCCAGGTTTGGTTTAATCCTCTTATTGGAATCAACAATTGCGAGAATTTGATCGAGAGCCTCTTTTCGCGTTTTCCACTTGTCATCGCTAGCATCCTATGCAGGTGTTTTCATCGACAGATAAAACATTGAGAAAACAATAACGATGATGTGCTGTGGATATGATAATTTTGGGCATAACTTACTGCCATCATTTTACTTGTAAACAGGGCACCAATATCAACTTTCGGGAATAATTCTTCCAAGGCATCATTCCCACCACGTCCAGAATTAGCTATTTCGGCCTGATAAACATTTATTTGGAAAATGAGTGTGACATTCAAGAAAAAATTTACTCGAGTAAGAATTGAATGAAGGCTGTACATACGCTAACTTTTGATGGTTTCGGTGGCGCTTGATCCGCAACCTTTTCGAATTCGTTGTCAATCGTGGCAAGTTGTGTAGGGTTCAAGTCTTGAACAAATGTTCTGATATCTGATTAAGTGAAGAATTAGTTGTGTATATATATCACCGTACCGAGAACTACCAGGTAGACAAATGGACTGCATAATCTTACCGGGGCCGACATAAATCCTTAGCGCACCCAAGGCCGTAACCGAATTCGTTCGGACAGATGCATTCGTGTTCGATAAGCAGAACTTGAGAAAATCGATTAACTCCCTTACTTGAAGACCAGCTATTCCGAATTCCATTATGGCGCCATGCAACCACGTCAAATTGTCCGCTAATATTTTCGGTGACTTAGCTTTGCGTAAAGGTTCATATGCTATTACAGAATTCAATTATTTAGCCAAAGTCCTTGATAATTTTTAAACAAAGTACGCATACAATCTTTATTGTACCTTGCCCGATGACAAATTGCAGTGATATCTTCTCGGAGAATGCTGTCAATGTATCGGACGCACTTTTTTTAAGTTTAATGTCTCCCAATTTATCCACCAATACTGGAATATATGCACACGTGTTACTAAATGAAAACCTATTATCAAAAAATTTTATATTTTTTACGCGTCGTTTATTACCTGGTATGCAAAGAGCCGCCGTCGGTTTATCGAAAGAAGGAACTTTGGTACAGAGCAATTCCATTATATTAAACGCTTTAGATAACACCTGAAAATTGCTTTCTTTCCATCCAGGTTTCTTCGAGAGAAATCGGACAACCAACTCTGCTTCAATTTCAGAGGGATCCTTTTCATCCAGAGTGTTATACAGATTTTCAATGGCTAAAAATGACAAGGTTAAGTTGATGACAACACCAAATGTGAACGTTTTGAGAGAAATACAGATAAGTACCTGCCAATCGTAATTTCCAGTTCTTATCACCCATTTCAGCCGTCTGATCTTCAGGAACAATCTCAGCAAACTTCATTTCGACACCTTCATCGCTAAACCTATATTTCAGAACTTCTTCTTCCTTTGCCTTACCACCTTTTTTTGCGGGAGGTGGAGCTGTGGCAGCCGCGGATGTTTTCGCCGCGGGCTTTTTTGAGGGCGGTGCAATCGACTTGGGGTTCTTTGGAACAGTTGATTTCTTAGGCTCATTATCCTATGAATTCGTGTGACGTGAAACTATTAAGTAAACTGAGAAAAATGAGTACGAGAAACCAACAAAACGTATATGCATACATCATCCTTTTTAGCATCTTTTTTAGCATCATCCTTTTTGACTGAAGCCTTAGGAACTGGCTTTCCTTTGGCTGGTGCAGCGGCGGCTGGTGGCGGTTTTTTCGCTGTGGTAACCTTAACTTTTACCTCCGCCTTCTCAAAGAACTCTTTTATCTTTCCCTTACGTATATCATCGAGATTTTCTGTATAAGGGTTCATAGATTTCTCCCCGATAACTTTCATCATGGTGCCAAGTCCTTCGAATGCCGCAACACGCACCGGCTCAAAACTATTTTCCGATTCTTTCACCATCATCTCATTTAGGGATTTAATTTCTGCCTTGTTAGGGGCGACCTTTGTATTCTTTAAGCACCTGACCAACCATTTCATGGCCTCCGTTTTTACTTGTGGATTTTTGTGTTTTCCAGCAGCCAGAATTTCCTCCGTGACGTCAGATATGCTTACCTAGAACCGATCAAAGTAAAAACAAATAAATAAAACAAGAAAGCTAAAATTGGGAATGACATTTCCATTGTGGTTGCTTACGGATAGGAACACCGCGTCCAACGCTGCTGCCAAAGCATCGACAACACTTTGTTTCCTTTCTTTGAGTTTCTCAATTATTGGGGTTACCACCTAGTAATAAGAAGAACAGCACTGAGGATAATTTCTATGATGAAGTATTGAAGCAGCATGCGAATTAAATTTTCGTTATTATTAAAATTATTATTTACCACTTGTTTATATTTTGCAAACGCGTCCCTTAAGCCCAATGCCAAAGCCTCTATGATATTGGCTGCCAGTGTAACGACCAATATGTTAGAATCCGTCATCCGCTGTAAATTTAATGAAAAAGTATTTTTCATTTACATGTTAAACCGAATTACCATTGAACACGATGGCTTGAATCTTAAGAAGCATACCTTGGCGAGGGCGGCAACCAACTCTCCATAATTGCTATCAGCAATTCTGGGCGTTTTGCACACCTCCAACAGGCCCTCCAAAGCTTCCTTTCTTTCCTTCCACTTTGATGAAGCCTGAGTAATTAGTTACTTCGATTAGCAACGAGTATTCATTATCTAGATAAAATCGAGAGGATATTAAACATCTCTACCAATTGCCCATGAAAATCCTTTGATATCTTTGGAAGAATATCAACCGGTTCTGCTAAATCGTATGCGTCCAACTCCTTTTTATCATCGGCCTCCTCTTCGGCTCCTACGTATATATTTATGATTCGTTTTAATTTAAAGGAATGAACGTGATGAAGATAATTTTCGAATTATTTTTACCTTCACCAGCTTCTGCTGCGGCCTCAGCAGCAGCCTGTTGCGAACGCAATAGCCTTTCCTGTTTAGGTTTCTCTTGGGGTAATTTTTCGAATGCTTCGTTCAATTCTTTCACCTGATGATAGGAATCCATAAATGTCAAATTTGGAAAATTTTAATTTATGTATAGATTAGAGTTCAATGATTGATAAAAAGTATTTACCTGCACTGGCTTCAATTCTGATAAGTACGAATTGATGGCAGGACCTAACCATTTGTAAAGCTCTATCACAAGTTGAGTCCCCTGTTCGGTAAAACAGATTATTAGCTTGGAGGAAGAAAAGGACACGCGTTAAAATAAATCATTCAGACTCACCTCGGCTCGAACGTTTTTGTCAGTGTGTCCAAATATCTTTGGTAGGATTTTGAGAATTGGTTTGACATTCACCGTTTTTGCGCCGTAGCACCTTTTTATCGTGAATGGGAAGTATGGTAGATTGGTGAGTAATCGAGATGATATAGACGAGAAGACAATTGATCGATCTACGGTACCTTATGATTTCCTTGAGCGCAAAAGTCGTGGTCGTGACCAATTTCGGTTGTTTGGCATTCAACCCCGCAAGCACATCTTCCTATAGTACCAAAGTACGTTAACGATGATCATCGATAACTCGATGAATTGAGTTACTGAGTTAATGCGTACCACAACTGGGTCAGGGGTGTCGACCTCTATGTATAAGAGGACGAGTTCCACGGCTTTATTTTTTGTTCCGGCACGAGCTGAACCGAAGCCCTTTTCAACAATTGCAGGTATTATGGAGGCCCTCGGCCTATAAATTATAAATGGAGGCTAGGTTAGATCCAAAACCGATTACCGTTTTGTCATGCGAGAATACCGGGATGTATCTACGAGACACTTGCTTAGTGGGATTTGGTGCGTTTTCTACGTATGCCAGAAGCGTTGCCAAACCGGTTTCCTGAGCAACGGCATTGGCGTCTGTGGCAATGTTTTTCAAGATACCCTCGTACGGCCTGAACTCACTTTCGTTTGACGGATCGGCCTTGGTGAATTTCTTCGTGAGTTCCTCATATGCTGCAACTCGAACCTTCCAAATCTACAAGTAAATAATAATGGGGGAGTACATCGTTTAAATGCAATGTGACGTTTCGTGAACTGGTTATTTGGCAACAAAAGTTGAGCGAGAATCAAGTACCTTGTGTGTTATTCTTTCGGTAAGAGGCAGGGAGGAGTAGTCTTCCTCGGGTGCTGCCATTTATGAGTAAACAAAAAAACTGTCACGAGTTCTTGGTGGTGTTTCGTAGATGCGAAGCGTTTTAACTTTTGGATAATGAGGAGCTAACAACGATTTTGGAAAGTTTGACTTGACAACGGAGAGGTCACAAGGCAAACTCAACATAGAAAAAGGTGGAGAAAAGTTCGCAAGTGTCTTCCTGCAAAAAAAACTCGACTTAATTTAGTTTTATGCAATAGTACGTATCTTCTTGTTTATGCCGCATAGCTGGTTGATCATTATATCACACAATGATCCAGGGACCAGCATAAACCCCCAAGTTCATGGTATGGTTACCGAGTTTCTGGAATCCATAAATAAATCTCTTTAAATACCTACAGTCTAGGAGACAAACGTTATCAATTTGTGTGATTCGATATGCCGCCAATCAAAGGTGCGTTACCAAACTTCCTTAAAATTCGAAAAGATTGAAATCACTCACGCGTTTTTTTTACCTCGGGTAAAGTTAACGTGAAATGGAGTGGAAAAAAGTACGAGTTAAACATTGACACTGACGAACCTGCGGAGCTCTTTAAAACTCAAATCTACACCATGACCGGCGTCGAACCCGAAAGGCAGAAGATCATGTCTAAAGGAAAACTCTTGAAGGTTTCAAACTTTCTTTTTACATTTCTTATTGCGTGGTAGTCCTTCTCGTTGATGCGAACACTGCGTTTTCTTATCACTGTAGGACGACACAGATTTGAACAGTTTAAACATTAAAGAGGTAAGCGTTAGTTGTATTCGACAATTCCACCTCCCCTCCATGATCTTTCCTAATCGTTCTAAACACTTTATTCGATAGGGGCACAGTTTTACGGTAATCGGTCGTTGAAAAACGTGGTTTGCCATGTGAAAGACATTACCCAACTTTTTTATTTTACCAGATGATGGGAACAGCTGGCGAACTGCCCAAAGAACCAGGAAAAAAAACCATATTTATGGAAGACATGACCGATAGACAGTTGGCGGAAACAGTAAGATGGTTTACGTCGTATGCACTTTGCGTGGCGACGTGAGGAATGACTTCATGCAATTCGTCCTTTCATTTCAGCTGAAGTTACCTTCCGGTCTGACAAATCTTGGAAATACCTGTTACATGAACTCTACACTACAATGTCTTCGTTCTATTCCGGAATTGCAAGAATCGCTCAACAGGTTTGTCAAATAATGAAATATGATCATTACGAATTTACTTTTCACCTTCACGGATAATTTATTCACAAATCGACGACACTTCCGTCTTACCAACCGATGTAGTTTCACCGGCCGATCGAGCGGGTCAAACATGCCGGATAGCCTAGTGGCCTCTTTATCCGATCTTTATCGAAAGTTGAATCAAACCACAGAAAGTTATCAACCTTTGATGTTTGCGCAGGTAAGTGGAATCTAGTTCGGATCTCGATTTCAGACATCAATCTGAGTATTATTCAAGTTTCTTGTGTATTGTTAGTATCTCAGAACTGCCTTTCCCCAATTCGCACAACGCAATGCCCATGGTTTCATGCAACAAGATGCCGAAGAATGCTGGACCCAAATAGTGTCAACCCTGAATAATGCAAACCTTCCCCTGCCACCGCAAAAGAATGACCTTCAATCTTCGTCGGACATGCACGATTCCAACGGGTCATTCGTCAAGCAATATATGACGGGGAGATTTACTTCAGTGTACGTTTTTCTCGATTGCGTTTCTGTTTTGGGATGATCGCGCAACGAATAAACCAGTTGCAATCTGCTGCTTCTAGCTTAAAATGTCTCGAGTCTCCAGATGAGGAACCTATTGTTTCCACTGATACTTTTACGAAATTGAGTTGTCACACATCACAAAGTATGACCCTGCAAATCACCTTATGGATAGTGTGTCTTCTTTCCCTTTAATTTTTATTAAAATTTACAACAATTCTAGCGGTTTCTCACATGGCGAGTGGTATATTGGAGGTACGATACCTTCGTGTTCAAGTTTGACATTTTCTGTGATGGCACTACTAAATAAATGTTCTTTGCGTCGGAACTAAAAAAAAAAAAGTCGTTGCAAGATGACCAGATCGATAAGCATTCACCTACTTTGGATCGATCAGCGAAATATTCCTCGACCTTGCGCATTAGCCGCCTCCCTGCATATCTTACCGTTCATTTTGTGAGATTCTACTGGAAACGACAACAGCGTATTAAGGCCAAGGTTCTGCGCAAGATCAAGTTTCCCTTTGAACTCGATGCATCAGAATTTTGCACTGACGAATTAAAGACAAAGATCGCACCAGTGAGGAATCGGTTGATGGAGCTCGATAAAGAAAGAAGTGACGCGAAGGTAACAACACTCTTGAGTTGATGTACAACATTCCCCGGTAGATAACCGTTACTCACACGTGAGCATAATAGCGTAAAGCAAAACTCGCGGGCAGCCCTGAGGAAAAAGTTCAAGAGGAATCTAAAATTGACAGCTCGGTCATCGAGGAGTTAAAGAAGCTGGTTGATCCAGAACTCGCCAGCGACATTGGTTCCAATGTGACGGGATTATATGAACTGTGTGCTGTCCTAACCCATACTGGACGGTCGGCGGATTCTGGTTAGCTGTGGGATTTGATTAAAAATGATTTCATTGTTGCGCTCCGACTAACGTTTTCTTTAATCACAGGTCACTATATTGGTTGGGTACGTAAGCAGAATTCCGGTATGTATGACATTGCTTTCGCCGCGTACGTCAGATTTTGTGAAAGTCACGCTAACGTTATTATTCGTGTGCATGACGTGTATCAAATTGCCCAACACATTCTCATTTAAGATGAGTGGATTAAATACGATGATGACAAAGTTACAATCGTAACCCAGGATGATATCCAAAAACTCGATGGCGGTGGTACGCGTTTTTTCTTTTCCTCCTGCCTCGGGTGCATTTAACATATTCACCATGTAGACCTTGCTGAAACATACTTTATTTAGGTGATTGGCATATGGCGTACATCCTGTTGTACCGCTCGAAGAAACTGGAATGACGACCGTACGTTAGTGCTAATGTTTAATGATGTATCTGGCGTACAGTATCACTATAGGCCGCCCCATTAATAAATAAAATGCATTGAAGTCTTGTTTCAATTGCGACAATTTGGAGTTTAATTTAAATGCTCTTTTAGACAGACACGCGTTGAGCCCATCAAAAAAAAACAAATAATAAAAATAATAAAAATAAACAATTTTCAAAAACTGTACAATTTTATAATAATTAAATGGACCAGGTAATTTCATGCGCCTATTTAATAAATACAACATCAGATGACCAAGGTATCTAATTTCACTCGGGTTTCCCTTTGGCGGATCTGATCTCGTCGGCTAATAGTTTGGCAACATCTAATTCGGGTGGAATGGATAATTCGGAATAAACATACGGCAAAGGGTTGGGAGGAGTGATGCACACAGGTTTATGATTATTTTGTGGAATGAGCACGGTGAATTTGAACTGGGCCACAACCGCTTGTCCAGTTTTCTCCAATAAAACATAATATGGCCTTAGTAATCCGTGGTTGACACATTCGGGAATCCCAAGCCGATCTCGGGTACCCTCTAAGGAACTAATATTTTGTGAGGTAGGTTAAATAAAGATGCGCAGATAGACAAACAACTGAACGAAGAAGGATGTGACTTACTTTGTGGAGAAAGGGAACACGCTGTAGGTGTCGGTTATCTTTTTGAAGACCGATCTGGCGGCCTTCAATTTCAAATTATAAGATTCGTTAACGTTTCTCTGATAGATGGTCGGTTTCACCTCGGATTCTCGAACCTATGAACAAAGTTTTATTGATCGAATCCAGAATCGGTTATCTTGATGTATGCGAGTTTAGCTCATCATCGCACACTCACCAATCCTTCTCCACTGCTCATGAGCACGTTAACCATGTAAGCCTCGTTCGGCTCTATCACGAAATCATTATTCAGCAAGTCGTCAGTTTGATTCAAGATAACGGATTTTTCCGCGTGAAGAACATATCGACGAATTTGCTGAACAATTGATCCTTCCACCGGGGTACACTTGAAAGCAGCGGCCACCTGAGATACGGCGTTGACTATATCTGATCCCTGCAAGAGAACAAAGCATGAAAAGAGCATTCGCGTTTCGAATTCATGTTCGAAAGATTACAAGGTACCTTGTTACCAGGTTTGAGAAGTTTCAATGCAACTTCGGAGCCAAAGTGTGCAGCCGCGACAACATCGGCGGAACGCCCAGTTACCGGTTGTTGCAAATTTGGATTCAATATCGTGGTGTGGGCTGCACTGGCGATGTATCCGTCAATGTGAACGCCCAATTCCCTGGTTGTGCCCAAGAAAAATTTGGATCAGTCGAATCCTGTGCAGTGAAGAAATTCACAGCTATCAGGAAGGAACTCACACTTTAACCAAATCTCCGTGTTGAAGAATTACATCACCTTCACCAGGCAGGGGAGAAACATATTGCAGATAATGATTTATGCAAATCGTCGTCGGCAGTGCTATACCTTTTTCCACTGGTTTTTTATTGTAGACCTTGGACGTCTGAGATGAAAGGAAGGACATATAGATATACGTATTTTAGGAATTAGTGCGAAAACGATGCATATATTTCGATCACCATCCTTGAGATGAAATGATTAAATAAGTTGTTTTCTTTAGTAAATTATACAGACGTGCAAGAAGACAAGTTGGTCACCATATTTGCAAAGTTCGGCAACTGATGCTCCTGGAACCAACTTGCTAATGATTTCAGGGAGTATGGCTGTTCAAATGGTCGCAGGTCACTTTTAATATTTCATTAATTGGATGTAGTCGTGTCTGCAACTAATTCGAACTCACCACTGACGATCTCTGCAGCACTTCTGTACTTTGACACGATTGTCGAATCGCCGAGATTGTTATCGGTGTCGCTCTTCTGATGGTAATGGTCTATTTCCATTTTTGATAAAGAGAAAGTGCGCTTTTCTTACCACCCTGCAAGACCAAATGACGCGTTTTCAAGCACCTATTTCCTGTCACAAAAGAAATAGTGTACGTAACGCCTGACGAGCGCAGATTACAAACAAACAATGATTACCTAATATTGTGTGACGATACTATGTGAAATTTATTATTTGACTCGTATTCCAGACAAAACGAATATGACCTTTATTTCGTGAATATACTTCAAACAACACTTTTCTATATTAGAATACGGGACGAAAGAAGCACCTTTCAGTCAATCACAGATTCATCGAGTCTTCTGATTTAGCCAACCGCGGCAGGTCAGATCGAAGACACTTCTCGACAATCGATTCTCCGATAGCATCCCCCAAGGATATGAAAATTTCACAGGATCTGACTGAGGTTCACATGGAGTTTAAACATCCACCGGAGTCCTCGAGAAAGTAAGCTTTCGAAGGAATCAATGGATCGGGAAAAAAAATAGTTTCAGCCTATAGTAGTAGTAGTAGTATTCGGTACTACGGTCAATGCCAAAAGTAATTATCATTGCGGTAATTGTTTTACTGCAGAACCGCCCAAGGGATCATGACCTTCAAACAATTAAAGGAACCGATGATATCAATAGATCACAATGTAATATGAATATCTCTAGCTGATTATGTCCGGATGGGCCAGACTGCAGAGCGGAAAAAAACAATATTTTATTCAAATGTGATCCCGTTTATGGAAAGTACGCGAGCCTCGTAGGATCCTATTGCGCATGCATAAAAAATTCAGTTGCTCCAAGAAGGCGTGGATGATGTCAACATTGTTACGCATTCGATTCTGCATGGACATTGTGTTGTTGTGCAGCTGGACTCTTCATTACCTCACCTCGCTGCATCTTGACCAAAGATTACCATATTTGGAAACGATCAGAAACGTGAAGAACAATTATAGGCGTTACGAGATATGGTTAATTCCTTTTGAAAACGACAAAAATGTTATATACAATTTTTTGATCTCTTTTTTTGAACAATACATATACAATATAAATTCCAGGAGTACAATTATAAAGTCAGAAAAATCCCTGTCCGCCTTCAAAAAGAATTACCCATATACTGAAATCATATTTCCTTGCATAAACGAAATTCCGATTAGTCTAGTTAGCGAACGTCCTTTTTTTTTATACACACATGCATGCACATTCTGAATCCTTTTTATTAAAAAAAGACGATACACCGAGCACATGAATAAAAGATAAAATACGTTCCCACGTTAACTCCTTGTTTTTTTTTTATATTGTATTAATTAAAATATTTTTCCTCCCGAACTTGACCCAGCTTATCACTCTGCGTCCACCGATGCTTCATGTCCTCCAATAATAAATCCTTTTCCACAAATATCTGTCTTACCCATTCACCCAATTCTTCATCGTCTCTGGGCAAATCCTTAATTGCATAACGTTTAACATGCACATGAAATGCCCACGAAGGTGTCAACGGGGAACATGCATGAACCTGAAGAAGATTGGGTGGGAATTGAAAACCTCGGGAGATGTGACGATAAGCTATCGTGAAATCTAAGAATAGTGATAGCGTACGTGGTAAGGTTATCATCATCTTTTTTAAAACAAAGTAATTTTTGGAATGGATTTCTTGTTACCATAGATATATTGCACATGAGTATCACGCAGTTGACGAACACAGGCCACGAATCCCTTGGTGCGAGGTACCAAGAGATTTTGTAGGACCGGTAGACCCTTGTCCCTCGAAAACCTTTGACCCTATGGGGAAAGGCGTTATTGAGCAAAGAGAACAACAGTATGGAAAAGCGTTGAATGCATCTCTTACATCTCTCAATTTCCTTGGGTTCAACCTAGTTCCTTCAACAAAATTCACCACCCATATGGGCGCAGCATAGGCCTTAATGACTTTAAACATTCTTCTTAGATGTTCCTCATCCTAGATTGATTGTAAAGTGGTTAGTTTAGTTCTCGACATTACGTCCATTAGATGTCTGTGACGGGGATACGTGCCTGCGTCCAATTTCGCTTGATGAAGATCATTCCCATTAACTTTAAGAGGTTTGATTAATTAATAAGTAAATCGAGAAATGGAACATCAATGATGATGAATTCATGCACGAACACAACTTACCCACATCCCAAATCCGAAGAAAGGGATCTGCGCATCATTCGATCGGTAGAGATTCCCGGATTTATCGGGATTGTCAGAATTAATTTGACAAGGTACAAAAATAAAGTGAAACACATACATATTTTAAGGAATCCTTGGCAAAATACTTGACATGTGGCAACATGTTTTTACGTAATGCGACTGAATGCAACATGTAAAAATCTGTAAAAGATCGATGATTACTGATCACTATAGCACTCTCGTTTGATGGAATTTTATCACCAGAGAACGTGATCTTTCCTCTATGACGACGCTTTTTTTTTGTTTTGTTTTGTATTATATGTTTTTTTTTTTTTTTTTTGAGAAACAATGGAAACACGAATTACATCATTTTTTCAATTGGTTTTATTTTATTTTATGCGTGCACGCATATTGCGCTACTTAAAGAATATTCGTAAACGTCCACTCACCTCAAATATGTACTATAGAACAAAACAAGACCATAAAATTAATGCAAATTTTGATTAGGATTCATGATTCTTTGCTAGAAACGTCTCTCTGAGACAAGCTATTCATAAAGAGGGAACTCACCTGCATAACCCACCACATGCTGAAGGCTCCTTGAGAGTTAATGTTCATCACCCGCCTCCTCGAGAACGGGGATATGAACAATAGAGAACAAAGCTGAACAATGTTTATGCTAATCGCGAAGCTGTAAATCGGGGTGAAAAAATAAAGGTATGTACTGTAAATGAATAGGAGAACGTGGTACGATGTACAAAAGGAAAAATCAAATGTTCAAGGGCACAACCTAAAAAGACCGGTACCGTAGAAGCACAAGCGAAGTGCCAGGGCGATATACTTGAACATTTTTTTTTTTTTTTCTAAAAAAAAAAGAAAATCTCAATTCTCAAATGAAGTAACGATTGATCACTGAATTTATCGATTCGATTCTGTATGACAAAAAAAATTCGGACATTGGGGCATACATACGTCAGTTTGTGGAACAATTCGACGCGTTGATTCTTTTTCCTCAATAAACTCTTGATGACGAACGAAGTATGTACTGACTGACTGACTGACTGACCCTGTAACCCATATGCTACTTACTCTCTTTTCACGAATCGATTCAATTAAAATTTAAAACGCAGGATACCTCGGGGTTCGAGGAGGAACGTTGGTACGAGGACGCCCTCGGTATAAAGTTTTTTTTCAATTTTCGTCTGCTCTTGGCCAATGGAATTTTTCTTCACCGAATTTGATCCACAGGTTACTGGTCTGCCACACCTGCCACCATTAACGGCATGCTCGGCGGCTACGGCTCGGTCACCAGTCTCGAGGCGAAAGGTTCCATGGAGTTCATTTCGGAATACGTTCGTGGCAAGAGAGGTGCTCACAACGCACTCAAGGTTCCTCCCCGAATCAGCACTCAATACGCTTGCGATTGTGGAGCTGGTATCGGAAGAGTTTCAAAGCATTTCTTGCTAAAGATTTTCGACAAGGTCGATTTGGTAGAGTACACGCCGAAATTCATTCAACACGCCGAGAGAACATACCTGGCAAAGGAAAAGAGTCTCGGAAGGATTGGAAAGTTCATGTGCTTGGGCTTACAGGAATTCACACCCGAAGAGGGAAAATATGATTTGATATGGTGTCAATGGGTTCTTGGACACCTGAAGGATGATGACCTGGAAGAGTTCTTCAAGAGGTGCAAGAAGGGCTTGAAGCCGAATGGAATGATCGGTGTCAAAGAGAATGTATCCGTGTTTGGATATCGTTTCGATAAGAACGATAGCAGTGTCACCAGGTATCGTAACAATAAGAATCATTCGCATCTTTTCTTTTTTTTTCTTTCCCAATCAGTTTTAGCCGCGTCAATCAAAAATACTTATCGGATCCGAAAAAAAAAACAAACAAAAAAAAGGTCCGACTCAATCTTCAAAGATATCTATCGGAAAGCTGGATTAAGTTTACTCAAGGAGGCCACGCAACACGGAATGCCAGATGGATTGTATGAAGTAAAAATGTATGTATTATGGCGAACTTATTATGTTTAAATTTTTATTTGTTTACATTTGTAATCTATGTTGTTTACAGGTACGCCTTGGAACCAAAGATTACTGACACAACATGAAAATATGTCATTAAGTTCGCAATTCTGGGATGGTAAACAGTCCTCTATTTAATGAATGACATGAGAAGTTAGTGCATCCGACCAAAATTGGGTTGTATTTCATAACACTGCACACATTCGATTGGGTGAAACGTCAAAGTGAGAAATAGTAAGAAAACATTATTTGGTCGAGCCTTCGCTGGATTAGGACGCTTCAATAGAGAGAGAGGTTGATAAGCGATGTTGGTCAAACGCAAATAATACACGTTGTCTATCTTTATTTTGTTTCCAATTTCTCGGTTTCCTTTTTCGGTCTTTTTTTGTTCCTGAGAACCTTCTTGACTTTTTCGATCCTTTCCCTGCGAGCTGATTTCTTTTCCTGTTGTTTAATACGGCGTCTCTCTAATCTCTGTTCGACCTGTTTCTGTATTCATTGTATTCGTTGATGATGGTCAACACAAGAAACAACACGTTCGATTCGTAAAGACAATTTTGTATAAGATGATTAACCTGTCGCTGCAATTTTTTGGTAACCCGTTCATCTTCCCTTACACCAAGCTGATCAATTAAACTCAACATCATTTCTTTGTCCGCAAATTTTCGGCCTCTCCTCAAGATGTCTGGACAAGTTCCCGATTGTTTACGCGTGTCAATCCTTTCCGCTTTACTCGATTTGGAACCAACTGGGTTGGGTGTTTTCTCAACTCGCTGCTCATTTTGGTGTTTCAATTTTTTCGCTTCTCGTTGGTCCCCACAGTTCGAGCTTTTGTCGGTTTCCTGGAAAGTAATGGAACTTACGTATTTATTGCCATTTTGACGCCCTCTTAAAATTTACTTAAACAAAGAATTTTTAATACCGAATTCAACTTTCGCATGTTAGTTTTGTCATTGTTTTTGGTCTGTGACATGTTTTTGAATCATTGAATGACTGAATCAAATGGTCCAACCCTAAAATATAAAGGATAATCACAGCTGATGATCAAATGTCACTTGCCGCAAATACAATCGAGCGGATAATGAGCTGACTTCATATGAAATAAAACAAAAGGGTCGGTTACCTGAATTTTCCCAATGTGCATGTAAACATTTCCAAGCCACGTTAGTAGCTGCCATTCTAGTGGACGCATTTTCCCAAACACTGCAACTCGGCAAGGGGGGAAACTATAATATAATTCCGAAGCAAGTGCATAATAGGAGCTTTTTTTGTGCATTAGGTTATTATTATTATATTATATTATTTATTATTATTATCTTATCGCATCGAAGAATATGATGTACTACAATGGAAAACGGTTGTATATATAAGCACTCATGCGTAATTTGTTCAAAGTCTTACAAATTTTGATATCAACAGTACACACCCAATAGCGTAGAACCATCAGGGAGACATATAAAGCCCTTGGAAATTAAAGCACCCAGGACTTATTTACGGCGACCGCAATATCGCTGACTGCCTATTTTATTTATCCTGTTATTTCAAATGGACTATAAAGAGAGGTACCTACAATAAAAAACCCGTTATTTAAAGTTATCTCAGTTACACTTGGCGACACAGCCGCAATTGAATTCTGTGCATCCGACCTCTGCTAAACTAGTTTTGTGATATGAATTATAAACTCAGACTCTCTCAGTTCGAATCTATACTGAGCACCAAGAACCTATCCCAAGATCCCACGATAGATCTGTACAAATTCCGACATCTATGCTTTCGAGGTGAGAACCTGTGTTTTTATCTGTCTGTCTAACGAGGCGATCAACCTAAAGTTCCTTTTCTCACCTTTCTCTTTTGTCATCCGTCTTTGCGCTCTTACCCCCTCAGGCATTCCCGATAAACCTGGCATCAGGCAGAAAAGTTGGAAGGTTGGTTGAGGGGTACCTTGTGTTCTTGCTGCGCAATCAGTTCGAAAAGTTCTTGTTTGTTTCACATAATTTTAACACGTCACCGTTGGAACTCGGGCATTTTCTCTAGATATTATTGGGCTACTTACCACCGGACAAAAGAAAATGGGAAAAAGTTCTGACCGAGCAAAGAACAACCTATTATGTATGTGGAAGCTGTGCGCGGAGCAACAATATTATTGCTGGTTGTTTGTTTGGCATTCGTGAATTTCAGGTCTAAAATTGGTTTCTCCTTATACAGAGTTTCGTCAGGGATTTGCTGGCAGATCCGAGCGAAGAGGAATTGAAGAATCCACATAACACCGAAGATCACGTAATTATCGTTCATTATATAATTGTCATTGATAATGTATTTCTTAGACGTAGAGATGATGGTGTTATTGAAAAAAAATGTGAGAGGGAGAAAAAAAAGATTATATTAATAATAATTTCCTAATTAGCCTTTAAATTCTGCACCAAATTCCAAGTGGGCCGAATATTTCGCCGACAACATAATATTAGAACAAATTGACAAGGATGTCAGGCGAACGTTACCAGACTTTGCATTCTTCCAACTGCCCGTCCCTCATAGTCCCTTAAGTCCTCTGAGTCCAAAACTCGCGGCCCAAGAAATTTGTCGGATAAACGGTACGAGGTCACCATCTATAATGGACGCTTTGGATGGCTCAAACGACGATGACAATAGCTGCAGTAATTCCATATTAACGAATCCTGAACTTGAATCGGATGTTGCGGCCATGGAGTCGACGATGCCTCATCTGAATTCGATTGGCAAGAACAAATTCTCAACCGCGGGTCCGAAACCTTTACCAATTGACGTTTCCGAACTCTTGTACAACACGGTCACTCCAATTCCCACCCGTAGGTCAATTTTTAAGCGCGTCCAACATTTAAATAAAGAATTTGGCGCGCGAAGGTCGTCGTCGCCATCCCCGAGTTACAAGTCGGATGGTTCACGTGATGATGACTACGAAGTTGATTTGCACTGGGAGGCCATTGAGAGAATCTTGTTTATTTATGCTAAATTGAATCCAGGCGTAGGATACGTCCAAGGGATGAATGAAATTCTTGGCCCCATCTATTACACGATGGCCAATGACAGTGATGAAGTAGGAAAAGGTAAGAAGAGTATTTCCTACGTGAAACAAACACTATCACCATGGAATTGTGAGAATAATCCGAATCCACGAATACCTTTAAACAACTTTTAGCACACGCCGAAGCAGACTCGTTCTTCGTGTTCACATTAATGATGTCTCACATACGAGATCACTTTGTGAGGAGTTTAGACATGGACGACAAGACTGGCATTGGGCACACCATGATGAAAATGAATCGACGTCTAAGAACCTTTGAGCCCGAATTATGGGCAGACCTGGTAAGCAATTCCTTTGACATGCGTGTGCTGTGTCGTGCGTACCCTTCCTTCGGAGATTAAAAGATTACAATCATCTATACCAGGAAAGAAAATCGCTGCATCCGACCTATTATTCATTTCGATGGTTGACCGTTATGTTGTCCCAGGAATTTGCACTGCCAGATGTTATCCGTCTGTGGGATTCCATACTGGCCGATCACGACGACGAAGAAACCACGGGTGGATTCGAATTCTTACTGGATTTCTCCTGTGCAATGCTAATGTTAGCATACATTTCATCTGCATCTTTGTTCACGGGAGTTCATTTCGATGGCACTGACTGTTTACCTTGTTCTTATTCAGATGTGTGAAAGATCAGTTGCTTCGAGGATCCTTTGCCGACAACATCAAACTGTTACAGGTGGGAAAATTTTTTTTTTTTTTTTTTGCTCGGAACTCTTCTTACCACACGAACTTAATTTATGACACCTCGCTCGACTGACAGAACTATCCGATACAAGACCCGGCCATTGTCCTATCAAAGGCCTACGCTTTGCGTGAGAAACGTCTCCTCGCCAAAATGTACGGCGAAGACATAGACGCTTCATCGGAATCCGGCGATGATGATGATTATTACCCACCAAGTAACTACGATCTTCGCGTTATTTCTCATAAAAAACATATCGAATCGATCGTAACCTTTTAACTTCTTTTTCAGCCACCAACGGTAACGTATATTACGAATCCTCGACGCCGTCGGCGATTCAGCGAGCAAACGACGTGAAGATCAAAGGATTGGCAATGCTAAAGAAGGTGCAAGGAGTTGTGAATAATAAACCGATAAACGGTATTCATTCAAATGGAATCGGATTCTCAAGTTCACAAAACATCGGTAACACTGTTGGTATCGGTGGAATGAGTGGATTTGCGATGCGATTCTCGAATGTCTGGAGAAAAAATATTATCGCTTCGTCTTCGTAACAATTTCTTTTCCTGTACACTTACTAATCTTTAATGATACTCATATCTCGCATACACATACATATCATTATTTTAATTATTCCTTTTTTTTTTCATTACCAAAAGTACTTTACACAATTAATATCTTGCTTTCAATATTCTTTGAATGCCAAAAAAAAAAAAAAAAAATTTCTTGTAAATTAGTTTTTTTTTTTTTGTAAATTTTCTCACGAAGATAGGATTAGAACTTGTATTTTTTTTATAGAAGTTTTGTATAATTCATCGCAATAGGAAAGACATTTGAATTTATTTCTTTTGTGGGACTTCAAAAAAAAAGAAACCAATCATGTATTTTATTCTAACACGTTTTATTCAACATCATACTTTGTACGTTTGGAGCAAATAAAAAATAATAATAATTTTTTCATGAATTCATTTTCTGAAGTTTTTAATGAAAATTAGATGCTAATTGAAATATAAGCAATGACAACCTAATAATGTACACTGAATTGCATATTAAACATTGACCTGAGTCTTGACAAAGAAAGAATATTAATCTCACTTAGAATGGTCTATGAATAACTGAATTAAGGGGGTGGGTTTTATAAAACTCGATCGTTTTCTTCGCCTTATCCGCGACATTCTCGGGAGTGAGACCGTACTTCTTGTAAACTTCTTTATACGGACCGGAAGTTCCAAATGTTTTCATGCCAATACTTACATGCGCATACCTTGACCAGCCAAAGGTAGAAAGAGCCTCAACGCTCAACACGGGAATACCATCGGGGAACACCGATGACCGATATTCCTCATCTTGCTCTTCAAAAAGCTCAAATGATGGAAGGGACACGATACGTGCCTTGATTCCTTCAGCGGTCAATAATTTTGCAGCGTCAACGGCAATTGAAACCTCTGAACCAGTTCCAGTTAAAGTGATATGAGCATCCGGGGCTTCTCGCAAGACATAACCACCCTTGAGCGTTTTCTCAATCGAAGAACCTTCCAAATGTGGGAGATTTTGTCTGGTGAGAGAAAGCACTGAAGGACGACTGATGTTCTTAATCGCGGAAAGGTAGGCGCCGGACACCTCGTTTCCATCCGCTGGACGGAAAATTAGAATGTTGGGTAACGCGCGAAGGCCAGCAACGGTCTCTATCGGCTGATGAGTTGGCCCATCCTCCCCTGCAATTCACAGAAGAATATTCATTCCAATTTGAATATTTAATAAAATATTTTATACGTTAATGACATTGAATATTACTCAGTAGATATTTCTTTAATGACCATCTGAATCGATAAAAAAAAAGGTTTCGCATACCTAGACCAATGGAATCGTGGGTCATTATGTAAAGCACACGGAACGAGGACAGCGCTGACAATCGAACAGCTCCGAGAGCATAGCTTATAAAGTTCAAGAACGTTCCGCCAAATGGGATAAATCCACCATAAGCAGTTAAGCCATTCATCGCAGCCGCCATGCCGTGTTCACGGACTCCGTACCTGACATAACGACCGCTGTATTTGCCTATGCCCGTGGAATCAGGCTGAAAGTCAACGGCGGTCTTCCATCGCGTTAAGTTAGAGCCTGTCAAATCGGCCGAGCCGCCAATCAACTCGGGCAAAACGTCCGCAATACAATTCAAAACGTTTTCGGATAATTTCCTAGTGGCGATCGGAGGATCAGAAGGAGTGTAACGTGGCAGATGACTTTCCCAATTTTTCGGCAGTTCACCGGCGAACCTACGCTTGATCTCTGCGGCCTAGAATTCCAAAGGAAAATTTTGTTGGTAAATTTACAAATATGAACGACATACAAAATACTCACCAACTGCGGATACTCTGCACTGTAATCTTCCAAAAGTTTGTTCCAACGAGCCTCGGCTTTAGCACCTCTTTCCCGGATTTGAGCGTAATACTCATAAACCTGAATTACATATACAGTATAAGCCTAAATAAATTGTAATGGAAGTAGGCAGAAGAAAACGATGCGTCAAGACTAACCGAACTTGGCACGTGAAAATGTTTCTCCGGATCAAATCCAAATTTCTTCTTAACCTCGACAATATCATCCTGATGTAGGGGACTGCCGTGCACTTTCTCGGTGCCTTCATTCTTTGAACCAATGCCAATCGTAGTTCTGATCTTAATAATGGATGGCTTGTCCTTGATTTTCCTTGCATTTTCTATTGCCGCAGCGATGCCGTCCAAATCGCTGTCGCCATCAGCTACGACTTGGGTGTGCCAGCCGTAACCCTCGAAACGTTTAACAACATCTTCCGTAAAGCTTACATCAGTGTCGCCTAAAATTTAAAGAACATTATTATTAACAAGTGATCCATGGTGCGAAAAAATCGATCAAAACTTTACTAAATACTTATTATAATTACCGTCAATTGAAACGTGATTGTCGTCGTAAAGGATTATCAGATTGCCAAGCTGAAGATGACTGAAAAAACGCATGGTTTATTAGAAAGCTGGTGATCGCGTAAATTTCATGGGGAGAAGATGACGAAACGAAAGTTACCCTGCAAGAGAAGCGGCCTCGCATGCGACACCCTCTTGTAGACAACCGTCACCGGTGATCACATAAGTGTAATTCGTAAACAACTCATAACCTGGCTTGTTGAAGATGGCAGCAAGGTGCGCCTGTGCCATGGCCAGTCCCACAGCATTACCGAAGCCTATTTAAGAACACACATATGATGATCGGTCACGTGATTTGACGACGCGACGAAATTACTTGAATTGCTTACCTTGACCCAGGGGTCCAGTTGTAACCTCGATACCTTCAGTCATATGAGACTCTGGATGTCCGGGAGTTCTAACGAACAATGATAATCAGTGAATGAGGCACTAATTACACAACACGCATACAATCAGATCAGGGATATCGAACTCACTTGCTATCGACCTGACGGAACGCTTGCAAATCACCCATGGTCATATTATAACCAAGCAAGTGAAGCAAAATGTACTGTAGCACACAAGCGTGGCCATTGGACATCACAAAACGGTCCCTGTTGGGCTAACAATAACAAGATCGATACGAAATGAAGTGGGGGAAACTTGACCCGATATTTATTGCCCAATCGCACGTACCCATTTTGGATTTGCCGGATTGGCCATAACGTATCCTCGGTAAAGAACGTGTGCCATCGGTGCACAACCCATGGGAGCACCTTTAATGAAGTCGAATACGATTCGTCAAAAAGTACCTTACTTTCTGATTCCGAGATAAAGGAACAAACGATCACCTACCTGGGTGACCGGAATTCGCCTTGCGTACGACATCGGCAGCAAGTGTGCGAATGGTGTTAATTGATAGATCGTCAAGTTGGTCGAACATTTTTTTTTCTATAAAATCCAAAGAATTAAGTCTTATTCAAAAAAAAAAAAAAAAACTATACAAGTCGTCATTCGCACACATGGCTTTGAATTCTACCGTATTTATAATACCTATCTCATGTACTTGAAGCCAGAGGGCTTTTGCGTTGTGTTCTGTTTTCTGTGAATACTAAGGTAATTTTTGGTAATTTTTAAACACAATTCATCCCACTTTTGTAATAATCTGATATCTGGAAAAAAAAAAAGCTACGTCGAAGCCACAATCAATAAAGTTTATCAGATGCCTGAGTATTAGTGATCAATCATTACTCAGAATTTCAACATCATATCTTATCTTACGTTTCATAGATTTAATTGGTCAGACGTTATACCAACAATTTTTACTGGCAGGATGTGTAAATAAATAAGTTTGCGCATCCCACTTTACGCCCGTTTATTAAATAACTTTTATAGTATTCCAGATCAACTTCACGTTTTAAGATCGAACTATTAAGTAAATCGAAGGAGGAAAGAAAAGAGATACAAACACATCGAAAGGTAAATAGGGAATAAGGGTGACAAAATAATAATAAAGAAAATGGACAAACGAGAAATAAATGGAATGGACAGGGTAATATAATGACAAGACCTTTATAATACGATAAAAATTCTATGTTTGATAAAATTATATAACCGATAATCCTTGACAATAATATCCTTTTGATAATAACCTACAAGCAATCCCTCTAACCATGATTTTACCTATACGGGGCCCAAATCTTCACCGTCTGATCCACAGACCCTGTGGCAACCACAGGACTCGTCGGATTAAATGCAATGCACGTTACAAAATGGGAGTGTGCTTCTAAAGTTTTTGTGCAACGTCCAGTTTTCACGTCCCATATCTTCATAGTCTTGTCGTCAGATGCGCTGAAAAGATATTTCCCGCTAGGATGGAAAACCAAGCCACGTACCCAATTGTCGTGACTCACCTTCATTCAAGAATGCAGACAAACATTAGCATACACCAATCAATATAGCAGAGGAAAATTTACAATAAATTGTTATAACATACCAATGTCTTTACACATTGACCTGTGGAATCCCAAATTTTAATGGTCTTATCCCTCGAGCCTGTAACGAGATACTGTCCCGGAAGTATTTGATCTTTAGACTTAGCATTTGGCTTTAGTGAAAGAAGGAAAGGTGCAGATTATAGATTATAGATTATAATAAAAACATATATTTATTATTTAAGAAATAAATGAGCAAGGAAAAATAGAGAAATAACTGAAAGTAACATCTTACATCAACAACAAGTCCCACCATTTCCCGTATAAAGGGAATTGCGGTCGCCGGGGCGAAAATTGCACATTCTACAACATGGTCGTGACCTCTAAATTCCATCTTGGATTCCCCAGATGTAACATCCCAAAGACGCGCAGTCTTTAATAAAATAGAGGAGTCAATACGGATACATCAGTAACAGAAACCAAGACGGAACGATCAAAAACAAACAAACAAAACCTGATCGTTAGAGCAAGTCACAATCCATTTGCCATCCTCGCTTGGTGATACCATCCGCACCCATTCCAAATGACCAGTGAATGTCCTTATACAATAACTATTGAAACAAATAACCATGTAAATTAAGCACATTCGGTGAAACAACCTAATATCCATCTCATTACTGACCCCGAGGCCAACTCCCAGAATTTAATCGTTTTGTCACGAGATGCGGATATGATGACATCCCCGGAGGGTAAGAACTCCACGGAGGAAACACTGTGATCATGTCCATACAGAGTCTTGACACATTTGTAATCATTCTGCAAATCCCAAACTTTTATTGTTAAATCTGCGGAACAAGAAACTAAATGCCGGAAAATAACGAGAAAGCATAAGTGGTTGAAGATTGATAAAATATGCATAAATGACAAACCGTAAAACATCAGTAAATATTGAATAGCGGTACCTAAATAATTTCCTTTCGGATCAAAAGCTATGTCCTGAACCGATTTGGTGTGTCCTTTAAGAGTACGCTCAAATTCACCAGTTTCATAATCCCAAATCTTTATGGTAGTATCCTCCGATGCAGAAGCCAACACGGAAAATACTGGATGAAACGTAACCCGCGTAACCGGATTTCTATGACCTGTTAATGAGTACTTTTCGGGTGCACGTGGAACCCAATCGACAGCAGAGTTGGTCTTTCGAAGAGGTGCATTGTTAAGCTCTTCTTGCATTTGTGTATTCTTATTTTCCAAGTCCATGATCTAATTCAATAAAATTCGCAGAGGCGGTTGGCACCTTCAACAATCGAGAAGACTTTGTCTAAAAAAAAACCGAATACTCATGAATTACCTTCTTCTGCAGCCGAATAACAGACGTCCATTTCTTCTCTAACAATCCAGCGTACTTTTGCTTGGGATCCGGATTGAAATCATCATAATGGGTCTCCGATTTGAAGGAATTGAATGCTTCCGTGAAACCATTTGTGTATAGGTAGTCGAGGATGGCCTTGTGACTATTCGCCAGTCAAATCAGATGCAAGAGAAATACTTTGGTTAACGTCGAGTGAACAATGATATTAATTGATATGTAACAGGAGAACATTCGAGAAAACGAAATAGGGAATAGTACAAAATGCGGTTTTATTTGAACTTTGTCAAGGTCTACGACGAATATTATCCTCCCGAATGCATTCTTGTGATACCTTGATTATTCGAGATGTAGAAAATCTCCCACACTTTTTTTTTTTCCGAGCAAGATGAACAAAACATACTTACAGTTCCTCCTTTTGGCGATCTGATAATACTGTAGACATGACACGTGTATGGAACGAGATGGCAAGGTACTTTTTCGATACTTCTATTCGAGCCTGTGTTCAGGAGAAGTCTCTGGCTGAGATTTTATCCCAATAATCTCGGTAGGGATATTATAAATATGTATAGGCAGATCACTGTTTACGTGCATAGACAAACTCACCCCGAGAATCTGATTGGATAAAGTTTTTTTACTCAACGACGCCAAATGTCACTACCAGTGACATATGCAAGTTCGACGATTTGGATAATTAATACCAGGTAGCGGGTATTAATGATCATATTAACGTTGTTTTTTTTACGGTGATGATCTATAAAAAAAAACAATGCAAAAAATTTTGTTAAGATCTCTTTAATGGTTCTATTGTTTTCTGCGTAACAAAAAGAGAGATAGAGAAAAACATACAAGCATCAAACGACAAAACGCAGTCAAATATTGTAGCGTGGCATTGGGGCATTTGCAGACTCAAAATAATGAAGTAATTTCCGACAGGAGAGAAAAAATCATTTTGTTCAAAAAAATACAGAATTCTCGCCCCCAACCAAATTGAATAATTGATTCCCTCACTTCGTCACACTCGACACCAAAAAGATAATAGCTTCCAACCCCATCCTTTTTTGTTTATTTTCAAATTTACACCTTCAGACTACGCATGAATGTTCGTGTTCATCTGGGATTTGCCACAAAATCATGAAAACCAAAAGAGATGAACCCCATCACTACCAAATCTTGTACTTTCTTTGTCAATACATATATCTATCTATCCAAAAAAAATATGAACGCCAACAATAAACGGAAAATTGATTATTAACAATTTTAGTGTCATTATTCTTTGTTCTTGTTTGGTATACGTATCTATACAATACGGTTTTCAAGATACGTAAACGCACCTACATACGTACACACAAAATGCAATTATTAGGAAGTGATTGAGCCTTCTAAATGCGGTTTAACCTTGCACCTAATGTTTCGCGGAACTATATAGTATCGGGAAATATAAAAATGTTCTGGCTCTCATGCACAATTGCTCATTATCTCATTGTTCAAAGGTGGCACCGATAAAGGATAAGACCGTGACATTCGTAAATATTATGAATCGCAATTATATCGTCATCGAACCAAGTCTCCACTTATATAAAGAAATCGATAGATTGTGAGCCAAAAATAGGTATATGGTATGGCCATTTCGTTTGTTTTTCCCCAACCTTGAATGTTAAATATCTTTTTGACGATTGTCGATGCCAAAATAAAGAAATGATGTTTACCTACTGGGGAAACCCAAAAAAAAAAAAAAAAAAAAAAACTCTCTCTTGATTATATCTATTTTGTTAAAAATTTTTTTTTTATAATAATTTTAAGCAAAAAAAAATGGTTTATACTTTTTATTGCAAGTGAGCCCCAGTTCAAGAACTCAAAAACCTTTAAGACAACTGATATAGTAGAATGAGATCTTTGGTCAAAGTCTACTTAAGTTTGAGAGTTTTGTTTATTTTTCTGTTATATGAGAAAAGACTTGTAGCAGTTTTCTTTTCTTTTGTTTTTTTGCATCCCTTCTTTTTTCTATTATATCACAAAAACTATCCATATCAATATCATTACATTTGTTAAATTAAACACTTTTTCAAAAATATACTCAAACAAAATTGTTGGATCTATTGTTTGTTTTAATACATTATCTATATATAACTTTATAATGATACTATTTACTGTGTTATTTTAAAATCTTCAAAATTTTTTTTCAAAAAATTGAAATTAATTTACTCCTTCAGATAATCGTCACTTTCCAATTATCCAATCAGATATTATTAAAACAACAAAAAAAAACAGAACTTGTTTAAACCAGTTTTTTAATATAACAATAATAACAACAACTATTACAATAACAAACAACATCAATTATATTTTATTATTCATATCAACAAGAATTATATTTCTAAAACCAGTTTTGATACAAGAGCTAAATTATGGACTACATTTTAAATATTCTTTTTATTTACATAGATTTTATAGTTCAAGTAATTTAGTTTTAGTTTTAGTAATCAATATTATTATAGCTTCAATTTATTTTTCTTTTTAATTTTTTTCAATTTTCAATTTTTTTATATTTAATTAAAAAATTCTGAATAAGTAAGCATAGCTGTTCTCAGCTATATTTAGCATATACAATATTATTTTAAATTCTTTTTGATATTAGTTAAATATAGATAGATAGGCAAATTAGTATTTAACTTGTTATATGCTTTTTGTATTTAAAAGATGTTATTTTTTTTACAAATATATATAACTTTAAGTATAATATTAATAAATAAAGAAATAATATTTATTTATTGAAAAAAAAAAATAAAATAAAATAAAACAAGAATAATTTATAATTTTATTTTTTAAAGTTTAATAAAAATATAATAAAAAATTATTTTTTTTAAGAAAAACAATAAATTATTTAAAATTTAATATAAAAAATAAAATAAAATAAGATTAATAGACCTATAAGTCTATAATACAGTGGTAATACTCCATAGGTTACCAGGAGAAGGTCTAGAGTTCAACCCTACCTGATTACAAAAATTTATCACCTTTATGATTGGTTGATCGACTTCCAATTCATGTTGTATTCAATCAGTCAACAAAATCCATCTTCAAATTTAGTTAGGCTGCATGAAGATGGGACCTCTGGTCTTTCCGATGATTGCGGGTTAAAAACAGGTCGAAGTAAGAAAGGTTGCATGAGGAAAGGCTTCTGGTCTAATTTCGGTAATAAGCCCACAAACTCTAATTCAAACTGGCGATGGCAGACTTCACCACACAATATAAAGAGGTTAATTCTAAGCTGATCTATTCCAATGGTGGTGTTTCACGAAACTTAATCATATAGCCGAAGGGCAAGGTATTAGCCACAGGTGGTAAGAAGATTAGACAAAAATCGTTAAGTCAAGTGAGTCTAGTGAGGTTCTACAAGATTAAATTGAAATCCAAGCAAGAACGCCAGTTCCACAGGTGGGGAAAATGGTAGTGCGACGCTATGCTAGTGGCATATCTCGAGGATCAGCAATAACAGATAATTGGAATTCTGGGGTTAGTCTCTATAATATTCCATACACACTGCTCCCTGCAATAATGGACCAGCAGGTTTAGGTAGATTTAAACTAGTGATAGGATTCCCCCCCTGCGAAAGTCCCACCTGATATGTGGACACATCTCCTTGGTGTTTAAATGGACATATAGTTGGGTAATAGTGGTTAGCGTAGCTAGTCTTATAGTAAT